GGCGGGGAGGGGGGGCTGCCGCGTCCCCTCCGTCCCCAGTCGGGGTCTCTGCCCTGACGGCCCCCCGAGCCCCCGTCGGCATCGCCCTCTCCCCGCAGGGAGGGCTGCGGGTCCTGGAGGCGCTGGCGGCCTCGGGGCTCCGCTCCATCCGCTTTGCCAAGGAGGTGCCGGGGCTGCGGGCCGTGGTGGCCAACGACTTCTCAGCCCGGGCAGTGGAGCTGATGAGCCGCAACGTGGCCTTCAACGGGGTGGGGGACCTGGTGGCCCCCCGCATGGCCGACGCCAGGTACCTGCTCTGCGCTGCTCCCTGGCAGCCCGCCCCGAAGCCCGCCGGGGAGTGGGACGCTGCGGTTCACCCCCCAGCACCCTCGGGACACCCTGTCCGTGACCCCGACCACCCTGGTGGTCTCGCTGGGGTTTCCTCCCCGTACTGGGGGGCCCCAAACTGGTCCCAGCATCCCCACAGGGGTGGTTAGAGGGGGCATCCCATCCCCCTGCTCCAAGGGATGCAGCCCCAAAGCGGGGCTGGTTTGTGGGGACCGCACCAGTCCCCTCCCAGTGCACGCTGGGCAGAGGCATTGGTTCCTGTGGGGTTTCCTGAGGGCTGGGCCGGGTCCGGGACCCCCAGGGGGACAGTTGGCGTCCCCATTGCTCCGGGACCCCCCTTTCCCCCCCAGGATGCTGATGTACCAGAGCAAGGCGGACAGGGAGCCCTTCGACGTGATCGACCTGGACCCCTACGGCAGCCCCGCGCCCTTCCTGGACGCCGCCGTGCAGGCTGTGAGCGAAGGAGGTGAGCGGCAGCGGCTGGGGAGGGGGCGTCCTGGACCCCTGGGTCCTTCGGCAGCACCCCTAACCCCCCCGCCCCGGCCAGGGCTGCTCTGCGTCACCTGCACAGACATGGGCGTGATGGCGGGGAACAGCGCCGAGACGTGTTACAGCAAATATGGGGCCATATCCCTCAAGGGCAAGTTCTGCCACGAGATGGTGAGTGCCGGGGGGTCCTCGAGACCACCACGCTCCTGCCGGCAGCAGGGGAGGGGGGGCAGCAGGTCAGGGCCATCCCGTGCGTCCCCCCCAGGCCCTCCGCATCATCCTGCACAGCCTGGACAGCCGCGCCAACTGCTACCAGCGCTTCATCGTGCCGCTGCTCTCGGTCAGCGCCGACTTCTACATCCGCGTCTTCGTGCGGGTCTTCACGGGGCAGGCGAAGGTGAAGGCCTCGGCCAGGTGAGGGCGGGGCAGGCGGGGGGCCATGGCGGGGTGTGCGCCCTCCCGCTGTCCCTGACCCCTCCTTGTCCCGGCAGCAAGCAGGCCCTGGTGTACCACTGCGTGGGCTGCGGCACCCACCACCTCCAGCGCCTGGGCAAAGTCACGACCCACGGCACCGGGTACGGCCG